GATGAAGTGGAGGTTGGAAAACTTGATTACTTTGGTTCTTTAAAATGTATGTACATAAAAGTTTTTTGAGAAGTATATTATGATATATCATTTTTTTAACTTAGATGAATAGCATGAAAAATTTCCTGGGCTAGTGTTTGAGATTTATTTTTTCTTTTATATTCTCTTCTTTGTATGTGTGATGCACATCAGTGATGTATAGACTCGTCGGAACATAAAGTAGGAAAGACTTGACTTCGACACTACACATTCCACTTCATGCTTCACTTGCTTACTTTTGTAGAAACTACAAGTACATTTAACTTTTTTATCCCAGGTCCACCACTACCTAATGAAGGTCTTTAGTGCATTTATCTTAAAAATTTTACTCTATTTAGCCAGGATGCTTCTACAACTGTCTTACCTCCTGTGCTTTACAATTTTTACTAACATCTGCTTCTACGAATCTCTTGAAATGTAACCCTATGGAACAATACTTCCTCTTCTGTTCTAATTCTACAAACTAGTGTCGAATCTTGTTTCAATATTCATTTATATCCCACCAGGTTAAATTTAATGAGGCGGGATATATTTGAAAGAAGGAGAAAACAAACAAGCAAGCAAACAAACCCATGAGCTATTATAGTAGGAGAGAATGTTTTTCCTCCAGTTCACTTAGGAGGAAAAAAAAATAAGTCTGGTTATATAGCAGTACAACACAGTACGCTAGTATTAGCTAGAAGTTGACTGTGGCACTACAACCCCACTCAGCAGTGGTTGTGGAGAACAGTAAGGAAAGGAGCTCTACAGTGAGAATAAATCAGAGCAGCATTTCTGTCTGCTCTGCACAGAAAGTGAGATATTCCAAGATACAGATCAAATGACACATGGTTGGCCAGGTTGGGAAGGACATGGATATAATAAGCTTGGAGGATAAGTGAAAAAAATTGAGAGCTAAATGTATGGTTGGACTTGTCAAAATGAGCTCAGATTATAAGAATAAGTGTTTTCCCACATAAATACTAAACAAAGGCCCCATTGTAAAAGAGATGCTAAATAATCAGAGGTTCAAGATGATTCAAAGGATGGGAGTAGATCTCTTTTTGATATCCCAGTTCTTGTTCAATCAGCCTATGAACAAAGTGGCTATGCAATACAATATGGCCCTCCTTTCATCACAGCTACCCCGATTACGCCACTGCTAGCTGGAGTGACCACCCCTAAGATACCATGCCCTAAGGTGACCAAATAGTTGCTTAGTGGCAGATTTATTATTTCAAATCTCTTTTAATGGAGAGGCAGCTATTTGTCCTCATAGAATAGACAGTTACTGTGAATCTAGATTTAAATTTGCCTGCCTTGTACATCATGCTTCTGTGTGCAATGCGAAGCATCCTATTCAACATCAGAATTTT